AAAATAGAGGAGCATAGAAAATTAATGGAAACCTTGAATGAACAATACAGGGAAGAACTAGAATGCATGAAACAGATTCAAACCGATATCCATTTAAAACTTCCACCAAAAGCTGGCATATATAAAACTTTTGCACAGCAATAAAACCACTAATGGAGTGAAGAGACAACCCACAGTGGGACAAAATTTTTGACAGCTGTTCCTCAGACAGAGCACTAATATCTACAATATATAAAGAAGTCAAAAAATCAGACCCAAATTTAAAGACCCAATGCAAAAATGGGCATCTTAAAATGAATAGACATTTCTCAGATGTAGAAGTAGAAATGGCAAATAAATATATAAAAAATGTTCAATATCATTGGTCATTTGAGAGATAAAAAACGAAACCAATCCTGAGATTCCATCTCACTCCAGAAAGAATGGCTATTATCAAGAAATCAACCAATAGGGCTGGGAATATAGCTCAGTGGCACGGTGCCTACCTGGCAAGCACAAGGTCCTGAGTTCGATTTCCGGTACCAAAAAAAAAAAAAGAAATCAACCAGTAACAAATACTGGCGGGGCTGTGAGGAAAAAGGAACCCTTCTCCACTGTTGGTGGGAGTGTAGATTGGAGCAACCACTGTGGAAATCAGTATAGAGATTCCTCAACAAACTAAAACTAGAGGTTCCATTTGACCTAGCTATTCCCCTTCTCGGTATCTTCCTGAAAGAATTAAAAACATCATACCACAGAGAGATATGCACCCTCATGTTGATAGCAGCACAGTTGGTAATAGCTAAATCTTGGAAACAGCCCAAATGCCCATCAACTGATGAATGGATAAAGAAGATGTGGGGTTTTTATACAATGAAGTACTACGGCACCATAAAGAAGGATAAGCTTGAGAAATTTCTAGCTAAATGGATGCACCTGGAGACCATACTCTTAAGTGAAATAAATCAGACATGTGGGTTTAAATGCTGCATTATTTCTCTGGTGTGATAAAGGAAAAATGTAAATAAGGACCTAAATGTATAATAGATATTGGGAAATGGGAAGAAAATGTTCAAATAGGAAGGGGAACAAGGGAGTAGGGAGGAGGAAAGGAAGGACGGGACAAGAAAAAAAGAATAAAATGAAAACAAAGCTTTTGCAAATAAAGAGGGGGACGGGATTGAAGGGAAGGGAGGGGAATGGGAACAAAATAAAAAGCAAGACGTCTCATGTACAGGTACAAATTCCCTATGAGGAATGTTATCATTATGTATATCTAAAATACACCAATACAACTAAAAAGAGAATGACAAGACCTGAATCATGTTTTCAAAAGATCACTCTGACTGTGGGGTGGAGAAGCCTCTATGAAAAGATAAGACTGCTCCAAAACAATTTCTTTAAAAAAGCAAATCATCCAACCATTACTTAAAGGATGATCCATTTTAATAGACTGAGCTATCATAGGTAAATGTATGGAAAAATGAACAAAGGATTGAAATACACACATGTGCAGGAAAAAACATCCAGAGAAATAACCACCGATCTGCTGGGAACACTCTTCAGGATAGTTGTTTGCATTTTTTGAGACCCATGATTCTTATTACGAGCAGGCATTTTAATTAAATAAAGAAGAAAAGACAAAGAAACATGGACTCCTACGAGGTACCCCGGGACTCTGTTTGGGGTAGTAAAGGGCAGGTGACGATGAGATCCTAAAGGGGAGGGGGTCAAGTTCAGGTACCTGCGTTGGCCTTGAGGTCCTCAGGGGTCACCATGACTACGAACCGAATGGCACGCTCATTGCGGAACATCTCGTAGGCCCATCTGCGGATGGAGCGCATGCACTTCACGGCGGCGATCCCGTTGTTGGCAATGAGCACCTGATAGAAAGGGGCGGCGGCTGTACATCTGTCTGTGCTGGAGACTGCATGCTACCCAGGCATCTGGAGAGCATACCACACCAGCCAACCATATTCCTACAGCCTGCGGCCTGGCCGAGCAGGTGCTCAAGGTCCGCCTGCTGTATGAATGGATGATGGAACGAGCGGATGAATGGATGAGAGAATGAACTGATTGCTTTGTTGGGGGCCGTCAGGAGGACTTTTAACGGTTCTTGAGTGTTTACAATATCCTGTGATAGATAGATAGAAAGACAGATAGATAGATAGATAGATAGTGGTACTACTAATTCCTATTAGCTCATTGAAAGGAAGTTAGTGTTTATATTTTTTGATCAATCTTACATGCCTCTATCTGGTAACCTGAACGACTACTTTGAAGATAACAATATGCAATACAATAACCATTGTTAATTTCCTATCATTTTATTTTGAAATTCTGTATCATTTTTAGTGTTTTTTAAATTCTTTAAAAGAAAAAAAATTTAAATAAAATCAAATAAAATATCCCCCGCGACAGTACAGTGTATTTTATCTGCTTTTTTTTTTTCATTTTATCCTCACAACAACCATTTGAAAGAGATTTTATCTATTCCAATTTGGGGGCTAAAGATACAAAAATTCACCAGGTGTGGTGGCACAGGCCTAAAATCCCAGTATTCTGGGGGGCTGAGGCAGGAGAATCTCAAGTGCATGCCCAACTTAGTAACTTAGTAAGACCCCGTCTCAGAATTTTACAAAGGGGGGGAAAGATACTAAACCTCACAGAGTTAATGCATTTCCTCAAGGTCACACAGCTAGTAAGTGGAAGAGCTAGGGCTCAAATCCAGACATGACTGAGTCTGCAGGCTGACCTGTACTTTGAACTCTCCCCTTGCCTCTGCAGTCTAAAGATGAAAGGTCTTAGATTTGGTAAGGAGGAACAGCAGTAATGCCTGCTGCCCCCAGTAGCAGAGAGCAACAGAACAGGTCCTGGTTTCAAATCCTGTTTGTGTTAGTAACTTGCTGTGTGGCCTCGGGTAGCTCCTTTTCTCTCTGAGCATTATATCCATACAAAGAGGTCAGACTAGCCATCTTCCTGGTCATCCAGTCTCTCAGAAACAAAGACAAACTTTGGGTTTTTATTTAAAAAAATAAATTAGAGTCAGGCTTGGTGGCGCACACTTGTAATCCCAGCAGTCTAGGAGACTGAGGCAGGAGGATTGCAAGTTCAAGTCCAGTGTAGGCAATTTAGCAAGATTCTGTCTCAGATACAAAAACAATAAAAAGGAATGGAGAACTAGCTCAGTGCAAAGGCCCTGAGTTCAATCCCTATTACAAAAACAAAACAAACAAACAAAAAAACCTAAATTAATGGCCTCAAAGCTCTGATTGACAGAGCAGTTTTGTCATGTTAAATCTTCCTCCCTTGCTCTGCAATCTTTGCGGCAGCAGGAAGGACAAATATCTGGGATTGATCACCTCTCAGTTACACAAGAGGAAACAGTCTGATGAGTTCACCTCCCACGAGCGGCCATGCTGGGATTTGAGCCCACGACTCCTTGCTCAGGTTCAATGTTCTTTCTACCGCGTCAAAAATGCCCCTTAGGAAAAAATGATGAAATGGCCGGGCTGTGGCTTTCTCAGTCTTATTACCAAAGCAAGGCTGGGCCAGGAGAGAAGAGTTATGGGCAGTGCCCCCGCCCCATTCTCCCACATCTTCCGGCCTCTCGGGGAGGGGCCCACTTGCTGCTCTTATCCCACAGCTCGAGCTTTCCCACAAGCAGTTGGAACAGAGGACAAGCCAAGGTCACCTCTTCCGCCAGAAAGCGGCACACCAGCTCTGGGCCAGAGCCTCCTGTGGCCCCTAAGCTCCTGAGAACTCACTGCTGGCCGCCAGGTGGGCTGGCTTCAAACTAGTCCACCGGTGAGTGTGTCAAAGTGCGGCTTCTGTTGTGACAGGCCCTGGGCTGGATCCCCAGCACCATAAAAAAGAAAAAAATAAGAACATAGTTTCTGGATCCCACCCAGGGAACTCTAAATGTGAGGTCTGTGGCAGTGAGGAAGAATCTCAATGCTCAACAGCAGTTTGGGCCACAGCCAGGCTGGGGACTCTAGGTGAGCCCCTGCCATCCACAGTGTACTTACTATGCTGGGCTGGTGGTACAGGGGCCGCTGGGACTTAACAGCCAGTGTTTAAGTCCCAGCTCCACACTGGACAACCAACCTGCTCCCAGGCCTCAGCTTCCTCATCTGTAAACTAACACCCAGACAGCAGGCAACCCGCCTTGGGACAGGCCCTCACCAATGGTTAGCGGTCCCTACTATTATCACCACTGCACTCACATCATATGGAAAAGAACAAGGCCTTGCTAACAAAAGATATGGGTTCAAATCCCAGTGCCACCACTTATTGGCTACCTGACCCTGGAGAGCCAGTGTCAAATCTCTGAACCCCAGCCAGTCCTGGACGTGACAGGAATAACCACACAAGGTGGAGCCTGGGCTCCGCGAGGAGACAATGTGAAGTCTTCCCAGAGGGCAAGTCTTAGCTCGCGCCCTTTTGTGATTACCACTACAGCTTGGGGGTCTCCTCTCTTCCGGGAAGCACTAAGCCTCGGGAGGACAGGGCTGAGTTTATGCTTCCCTCCCAATAACCCGGACAGCTGCCCCTTTCACAAAAACACCCAGGAATCTCCTGACAGGCCTTGGTTTCCCCCTCTGGGAAATGGGCTACTGTACTCATTTGCATCAAGCTGTTGAGAGAGTGAAAAGCTCAATCCTCTGTGTGCGGCATGAGGAAGGACCCAGAGCTGGTTCTCCCACCTCCAGCTGGGAGGAGGGGCCCCTGCACCCAAGCCCTGGGCAGGACCCGCCTGTACCTTCTCGATGACCCGATCCCCACCAAAGCGTGTGACGAACTCGGCTGGGGAAGCCACAGTGAAGTCTCGGTGCAGGTCCAGCTTCTTGTGTTCCCGGCCCCTCTTCACCAGGTGGAGCCCGGACATGCTCGGCCTGCAGAGAGAAGGAACAGGCTGGCATTGAGCCAGGTCGGTACCAAGGTTTCCTGAGTCTGTGCTCACCATTCACACGTGAGAGCTGTGATGTACCGGGCTGATTCTCTCATTCTGCTTTACCCTGGAGTTAAGGCTGCTTTCCCTTTACTTGGTGTTCCTTGCGTCTATTGCTCGTTCATCCCCCTTCTAGCAGGCTCCCAGCACATCAGCGATATCGATCTGCTCTGTGGTTGTCCAGCTGGTGTTACTCCGGGGCGATTCCACCTCCTTTTACCTGGTGTTACGGCTGTGTCTAGACGTCCCCCAAAGCCTCGTGAGATCACAGATGGGGCTTTTTCAGAGGCGGCTGGATCTAGAGAATGTGATGCTGAGATTGAGTCTGAAATTGATTCATAGTGCAGTGCTAGGCTCCAGGGCACTAGGAGTAAGGGTGTGAGTGCTGCCCGCCCTCAGCAGCCTGGAATAAAAGGGGCAGAGGGAGCTGCAGTCGACCTTCTGCCGCAACGAACTGTTTCTCCACACCACCCTGCCTCGGAGCCAGCCCATAATGAACTGAAATCTCTACAGACTGTGAGCTAAATAAATCTTTCTTCCTTTAACTTTGGGAGTCAGATAGTTTGTCTCAGCAAGGAGAAAAGTAACTAAGATGCCTGGTCTGTCTGGGTTGTTTAGTTTTGTTTGTTTGTTTGTGGGGGGAAGGGGGCAGTACTAAAGGGTGAACCCAAGGGCTTCACACTGAGCTACATCCCTGCCCTTCTTTTTTTCTTTTTATTTTAAAACCAGGTCTCGCTAAGTTGCTAAGTTACCCAGGCTTGGCTCAAACTTGCAATCCTCCTGCCTCAGCCTCCCAGAGTGCTATGATTACAGATGTTGTGTCTCTATGTCTGGCTTCTCTATTCTTTCTAGATGTCCTACAGCTTGGATGTTGAAATTCCTAGACTGGCCCACTAGGTGATGTATCTTGCCCTCTCCTCTTCTCTCGTTCCTTCTACCTTGGGGTGATTTTCTCAGCCTTGTGTTTGAAGTAGGCAGCAGAATTCTTCATTTTGCTCCCAGGTTTTCAAAGTCCCAGGGCTTGTTTTTAGTTGCAAATGTTGCCTTTGTACAGCATCCGCTCCTTTGTGTGCAACATCCTGTCTGACCTCAGGGAGGACATGAATGACAGCATTTCTAAGTTTTCTTCCCTGGTATGGTTTCGGTGTCTCCCTGGTTTCCTGTGCCTGCTTGTTGGTTTGTGTGGGCCCCGTCTGCCACACTGTATCCCAGGCTGAGGGTGCAGCTCCGTGGTAGAGCATCCATCTACCACGATGAGACCCTGGGTCCCATCTTCAGCATGGAAGGAGAAGAGGGTGGGGCTCGGCTTCCATTTGGGGTCAGTCTGGGTTACACCATCATGCCCAATGGGAACTAAATTCCTGAGAACACTGGGGTGTTGGCTGACCCTGACCTGGATGTAGGTGATTAGGGGGCTTTGTGTTGGAGTTCACTGAGTCAAAGATAGCTTCAGAGGCGTTCTTCTTTGCTGGTCAGATTCCCCTGGGAAAAGCCCTTGGGTCTTCTGCCAGGCCCACAAAGGCCAGCCAGCAATTCGGGGCACAGGACAGTTCTGAGGTCTCAACACCCACGGAGACCCTTGCCCTCCTGTTTCAAATTCAGGCTCTGTGCCCTCAACCCTGCCTGGCAATCTCCAGTGCCAAACCCCACTGCTTTGTCCTCCCCGAAAGTGACCCACCCACCGACCGACCACCTGCTTTCTGCTGGGGTCCAGATAGCCCTGGCCACGTGAGCAATGGCAGGGATCTGGGAGTGCCCCGTCCAGTCCTTCACTATCTTCTTCAGCCCCAGTTATAGCCCCTGTGCCTTTGGGAGGTTCTGAGATACAGATCCAGGGGCCAGGCGGTTCCAGGCTTTCTTTGTTCTGCTTGTTGATCTGCTTTCCAGCCTCCACAATGCTGGTGCTAATCTCCCTATTCTCTAGGTGTCCTGGGTTTTGATGGGTTTCTATCTATATCGCTTCTTGGCCTTGTGGCTAATATAGTGTGATGAGTTTCTTTCTCCTTTTTTCAAATTTTTATTAGTACATGTTTGCAGTACATAATGATTACATTCATTGTAGGGCATCGATACGTGTATAAAACACCTCTTAATTCTTTCAATTTCTCCCTTCCCTCCTCCCCCCCATCTCTTGGTCCCCTTCCCATTTGCAGAAGATCAATTTCTCTGTTTCCTATTATCTCTTTCTTTAAAAAACAACAACAGGGGCTGGGGATTTAGCTCAGCGCACAGCGCCTGCCCAGCAAACACGAGGTCATGAGTTCGATTCCCGGTACCGGAAAAAACAACAACAACAAAACAAAACCTCTCGCAGTCCCTTGGTGAGGTCTGGACGGCAGCAGAATGAACTGTGAGCATCCCGTCCACCCAGTTCACCTGCCAGTGGGAACCCAGGCTGGGAGCCATCTGCCAGGATAAGGTCAGAGGTTAACTACCCCACAGTGTGCCCAGCAACTGTGTCCTAAGGCACCCTGGAGGCCAGGGATGAGCAAGATCAGGGAGCCAAAAATTTTGGTGAAGAACTGATTAATCCCAAAGACCACCAGCGGGGACCATCTACAGTCTGAGCAGAGAACAGTAAAGCCCAAGGCAAATAAAAGGTCAGAGACGAGGAATCCCATTTTATAGACAGGCATATTGAGGCCCAGCCAGGCAGAGGGCCTCGGGACAATTTCACCAGGAGGCCTGGTGCTCATTCCCCCATACCTTTTCATGGGGTAAACTGAGGAAATGGGAGAGGCGAGTGTTTTCTGCTATGTAAAGTGTCCACGTCCAATGCAGCCTGCCCCAACCCCAGAGTGTCCCACCAAAGGCTCTGTCCATCAGAGGTGAAGAAATGGGCTTTGAAGCTCAGGGAACACAAAAAGAAATTAATGACAGAAATCACTGTCTTTAAATCCCACAATCAACAGGATATGTACCTCCAATGAAGACTTTCTCTGCCCAGCTGGGCTTATCCACGGTGTCAGAATGAAAGAATACGTGAATAAGGAAATGACTTCTGGCCCTTGAGATGGCATCACTGCCTCCTACAAATTGTAAGCAGCTTTTCTTCTAAAACCTCCTACAGCTGTGCTGCTGACCGGAAGTAGGCCTCAGAGGAGTGCTTTGGAAGGTCATTATCATCTTCTAAGTATGAGCGGCGCTTTTACCATAATTACATCCCTAAACACAAAAAGTCCAGTTTGTTCCTGAGAACTTTATATATCTATAAGAACAGGCAGAAGTGCCTGGAGGGCCGTCATTTGCAAACTCCTAATTTAGAGAAACAGACATTCAAACGTTAATAGTTCTGCTGGGCTGAGAGCACATTCCTAATCCCAACGTTCTGGGAGGCTGAGGCAGGAGAATCGCCTGAGTGCAGCATGGACAACTCAGTGAGATCCTACCTCAAAATAAAAAATAAAACGGGCTTGGGGATGTAGCTCAGGGCAAATGTTCTGGATTCAATCCCCAGTTCTACAAAAAAAAAGTTAATAATTCTTATATCAAGGAAGTTGAACATGGGTGGGTTCTGTTTTCCTCTCTTTGCCTGAGTCTTTTATTAAAAAATGCCTGCAATGAGATACTATTTTCAATAAGAAAAAAGACTGTTAATTTTATCACAAAAACACCCAAAGCCACAGCCATTTCAATGTCCCTTGAGCAAGGCACTCAGTTTCCCCATCTGTGAAATGGAGATAGTAATGCATACTTCATTAAATAAGGTCATATACAGAAATAAAATAAAATTGTAAGGATCAGCCAATACATACAGAGTAAAAGATGGTGTCTGGTATGCGGTAAATGCGATGTTATTATCTGAATTCAGTCAGGTCAGGAGGACCAGAGACTGCAGATGTCTTAACCTAGCTGGGAAGAGCAACACAGCACTCACCTGCCTGTCATTCTGTGAAGCCCGGTGTCTGTTCCCCACCTGGCTATCTCTCTAGTCTGTCTATGGGCTTCCCCGGCTGGCTTACTCCTTCACTCCAGAAAATCACATAGGTCCCATTTCCTTACACACAAACATTAAAACAGAAGCACAATAAAGCACAGTAAGGGAGAACTCCATTTAAAGGCTTGAGAAAAACCATTCCTGGCCACCAGTTTCGTTTCAAAGCAGATGACAGCGCCCCCTCGCCAGGAGAGCTGCAAGCCTGCTGAGAAGACAAGGGAATAAACAACGCTCTCGGTGTGGCCTCGTCTCAGGCCCAGGCTCCAGGCTAGTGGCTATTTTAGTTCTTTTTTGACAGTGCTGGAGGCCAGCCAATGTCAGCTGCATGCAGGTGACCCTCAAATGAAGGCGCATCGGCTTAACCACTGTGCCTTCAGTCCAATGCTGAGCCCTGATCCTCCACAGCGGGGCGATAATGGGGGCTGGAATGTCCCACCGTGCCTTTGGAAATGGTGTGGGGAGCAATCTACAACAGAGGTGTCAGCCAAAGGGTAAATACAGTCAGCTGCTGGACCGCAAGACCAGCCGGAACTGTCCGGAGAAGAGAGGATGCAAACATTCTCAAGGGCCTGCCAAGGATCCAGCGCAGTGGGCTTCCCACTGAACTCCCGTAGCTCTGCCTGGGGAGAGCTACCATCTCTTGCTCATGACGAGGAGACTGAGGCTCAGAAAAGCACCTTGCCTCAAGTCACATACATTACTGACAAGTGGCAGAGCTGGGCTTCCGATCTAACTCCAGCCAACCTCGGCATCTAATTTTCAGGCAGAAAGATATCTGAGATAGGTGGAAGCACCTCTATTAATCGGACATTTTTTTAAAAAAAGCATTATACATATTGCCTCTGAAATTTAAAAAAAAACTATGTATAATGACGAATTCTCAACTGAGGACAGTTTGCTCCTTATGGCACATTCAACCGTATCTTTTCAGAGGTCACAACTTGGGGAGAGTGCTACTGGCATCTAGAAGGTAGAGAGATCAGAGATGTCGCTCAGCAGCCTAGAAT